GAGGGGCCCTCCCCCGTCAGTGCCCGGCACGCATGGAACGTCTCCACAGGCGCCGTCGGGCCCTCGCCAGGCACAGGAGAGTCAGCGCGAGAGCCACAGGACGCCCTGCAAGGAGCCCACCTGCCAGCATTCAGACAGCTCACCCCCTCCGCTTCCTGGGACGCCGGGTCACCCCTTGGACTGCAGCTCCGGTCCATCAGCACCACCTGACAGCAGGCCTGATCCTCATTGTGCTGGCTCTTCCCAGCATTGCCGTCGGGCCCTCGCCAGGCACAGGAGAGTCAGCGCGAGAGCCACAGGACGCCCTGCAAGGAGCCCACCTGCCAGCATTCAGACAGCTCACCCCCTCCGCTTCCTGGGACGCCGGGTCACCCCTTGGACTGCAGCTCCGGTCCATCAGCACCACCTGACAGCAGGCCTGATCCTCATTGTGCTGGCTCTTCCCAGCATTTATCACCCTGGGGGACGGCAAGAGAGCGCAATTGGGGCCAAACCCTTATTCACCGGGGATTTCACTCCATGACTGTAGAGACACGGCCAGCGCCAGCCAGTCTTCCCTCTCCCTGGTGCTACAGCATGCAGAGAACATCGGAGAGGGGCCAGCGGAGGGAAACCAAAACGATTCGGGGGATGGAGCGCATGACCTACGAGGAGAAACTGAGGGATTTGGGTTTGTTTAGTTTGCAGAAGCGAAGAGTGAGGGGGGATTTGAGAGCAGCCTTCAACTTCCTGAAGGGAGGTTCTAAAGAGGCTGGAGAGAGGCTGTTCTCAGTAGTGGCAGGTGGCAGAACAAGGAGCAATGGTCTCAAGTTGCAGTGGGGGAGGTCTAGGTTGGATATTAGGAACAAATATTTCCCTAGGAGGGTGGTGAAGCACTGGGCTGGGTTCCCTAGGGAGGGGGTGGAATCTCCATCTCTAGAGGTGTTTAAATCCTGGCTCAACAAAGCCCTGGCTGGGCTGATTGAGTTGGGTTGGTCCTGCTTTGGGCCGGGGGCTGGACTGGATGGCTCCTGAGAGCTCTGCCAGCCCTGGGGTTCTATGAGCTCCCCACCGAGAGCAGCCAGCTGATCCGGGAGGCTCTTCCCTCCTGGAGCACCAGATAAAAGTCTGACTCGGAACCTGCTGGCAGCCCTGGCTGCAGCCATGTGCAAGATACCCCTAGCAAGTCCTGTGGCCCCAGGCCCTCAGCTCACGGGGCATGGCATCTCATGCAAACCCGCACGGGCATAAGCAGGAACAGGCCAGCCAGAGGTACCAGCAGAAACATTTGCCAACACACGCCACCAACTAAGCCATCTCCCCTCGCCGAGCACATTGCAGATCTCGATTGCAAAACCCGCATTGTGGGAGGAAGTCGTGGATATGCATAACAAGCCTGCACTTTCGGCAGCAGCTCTTCTCGCGGTTTGCAGGGAAGGGAGCCTGTCACATGGCCGAGAAGCAGTCAGAGCTAAACTCAAGGGCACTTTTCATGAGTTCCTCTAATGTCTGAATGGTTCCTACTTCTGAGAGCTCAAGTGCAGGGTTTTCTGTTCCCATTCCTGCCCTGGAGCAAGTGACATTTCAGAGTTCAAAAGCTGGAAAAAAAAACAAAAAACCCAAGCCCCCTCCCGTCTGAGCCTTGGCTTGCTACCATCACACTGTGAGCACAAAACCCCCAACAGGGGTATGTAATCTAGCAAGGTGGTAACGTCAGAACTATAGTAACGCCAAAGGCTGGCTAGTGACTGCTTGGTTTATATAGTGAAATACCACCACAAGTGCACACTCCTGCAGGATACCCTCTTACAAAAAACTCTTAGAGCATCTCCAAGTTTGCCAGGATCCTCGTTAAATAAAGACAAAGTTCTGCTTAATGACAGACCTTGGCTTGTCCCTGGGGGGGCGGGGTGGGGAGGCTGTAAGGCAGGCTTCACTGTAGCACCCTGTCCGGGCAGTGTGTGTTAGAGAAGGACAACAACAGAGCCGTGAGCAGCACGGACAGGACAGACAGGAGAATAGGAAGGGCTTGGAAAGTCCAGCCCCAGAACTGGAGCAGTGCCCACACGCACCGTTGTGAAAAGCGGCGGATCAGAGAAAAGCACCCAGAAGTGAACCCCTTGCACCTCTCCCCGTGCAAGAGGCGGCCTTGGCAGAGAATCCCCCAGAAAGTCTCGTTTTTGCCCTCTTTGCGGCTGGCGCGTCAGAAGTCTCAGGGCCGGCTACAGGGCAGAGGTGACGGTGCCAAAACCAGCCAGGCTGTAGGAGGGTCCCTCGTGATCCTCCCCAGGAGCGGAGTTGACTCAACTGGCCTAACATCTCTGGAAATGGCCCGAGCAATGCAGCCAAGTTGGCTGATGGGGGAAGGGAGGGGAGGGCAATGCTGCTCCGAAGGAGCACAACAGGAGCAGGGCTGTAAGGAGGAAGTGGGAGGCTGCTTGTTCCTGAGCGCCTGCGGGGGGTCAATTCCCTGACTCTCATGGGCTCCTTGAGCCTCAGTTTCCCCTGTGAAAAGGGTTGGAGTGAGACACAGCCGGAAACGACACTGCAAGTCGTCAGACGCTCGGATGCTGCAGGGACCAGGCTGGGAAAATGCCATAGGGGAGAAATTGTACCCCAGACCCCAAATCAGAACTCAGCTGCAGGGACCAATTCCACCTTAATTGCCATTGCTGGTGCGAGGATCTTTGTGTACTCTTTCTTAACCAGCAGCCCAAATGGCACAGCCCGGCTCCTCTCAGGCCTGCTTTAGAATGGTCTGAGGGCCAGGCTCCAGCACCCTGGTTCACACTTCGCCTGCGCATCGTCCCCGGCAGCCAGCGGGGCTGCTCCCCCGCCAAACGGGGTGCTCCTGGGTAAGTCTTTGCAGGCCTGGGGCTAGACACTAATCATGGGAGAGCAGCAGGCTCTGGCCCATCACGTTTGCAGCCCTGCCCAGCCCTGAGCAGGTACGCAGGTAAACCAAGACCCAGCTATTTACAAGGGAAACAGCTTCTGTCTTCCAGGACAGGCACCCAAGGGAGCCAGGGTCAGCCCAGCCCCTTGGCCAACTAGCTACCGAGATTTGCAACAGCCTTCTTCCAGCCAAGAGAGGATCTCCTGCGGCAAACAGTCAGGCTGAAGGGCAGAGGCCATGGCAGGGATAGGAACCTGTAACAGGATGAAAACAAACGGAGCTTCCCTCTATCCGCCCCACAGGTTTGAACCGCAGGGGAGGAAGCGAAAGTGGGTGGTCTGCATGGCTGCCCAGGCCCAGGCCTTGCTCCGGCTCAGCTCCTGGCTTCCAAGGCTGGAAATTGAACTGCAAAGACGGCTAAAAATGCAGCTCCCATGTGGGCCTTTCCCCTCTGTCCCTGCGGGCAGCCTGGTGGCCGGGACACAGAGCCATGCGCAGCCATTCACTGGGCAGAACCGAAAAACCTCGGATTCACGGCAACAGTCATGGCCCTCTGGGGAAGCCGGCCACAGCACAGCCACCATCCTGCCATCAGGCGTCCCCGTAGGGATGTGAACAAGTAACCAGTGACCTGGTGACCTGGTAACCCTGAGCGAGTGATGCACAGCAGGCGCCAGTTAACCGGTGCCTGGGAGCAGCCCGCTGTGGGTGCAGGGCTGCCCCACTGTGGATGGGGAGCCGGTGGGATCCGCAGCTCTCAGGCCAGCACAGGGTGTAGCCGTTCCAGCTGGCAAACGCCCGGGCCCAGCGCTGGGATCCCGCTTAGTTGGGGAAATGTTTAACCGAGTAATAGGGATTTGACACCCCTGCCCCCATTCATGCACACCCCTGGGCTCAGGCTCACGCCACTCCCCAATTACCCGTGTGCCCAAGTGTCGCTGAACGGGGCCGGCCACACGTCCTGCCAAAGGCTTTAGAGACGCCAAGCGCCACAGCTACTGACAGCGGCCGAGACCTTGGCTCAGCCAGGAAGGCAAGTGCCTTGGGGAGTTACACGCTGCTGCAGGCTGGGCTCTGCCAGGCGCAGGGGGGGACCTGGAGAGACCCCAGGGCAGAGCAAGGGAGCTATTCAGGGCGCAGGTGCTGGAACTACCAGGCGGTTTCCATCCTGCCCAGGGTTCACAGCGGGCTCTCAGCGCCCCTGACTGAATCAAGTCTCCAGGGTCCCTCCTCACAGGGACCCGGCCGGGCAGCGCCCATTCCGGACGGTGCCCCCGCCCTGCGCGCTGGGCAACTGTCGTCACTG